TCACATCTAAAGCTCATCTCGAAAATCAACCATTCAACATTGCTCATCCAAAAGAAAATAATTCCTTTAATGTTGCTTGTGCATTTCCGTTTCTATATATGTGACAACGCAATTCCCAAGGTCGCTGATACAGAATTCCTAAATGAATATGCACCTTGTTTAATTCAACCCAAAACATGCTTGTGAGTTCAAAGCTCTACTCCAGAATCCAGAAACAACATAGGGAAATCTCAACTAAATCTGGGCAAAATTTTTCAGACTGAATGTTAATCTTCATACATCTTCAAGAGCCGAGAATGTCAATACCTTGCTTTCTATCATCCACCTGTAAATATTGTGTTTGATCACCCCCACCCCAAACCCACAAAAGTTTAGCTTTTTTGTTTTTACAGTGCATGAAGTCTTTAAAAAAAATAAAATAAAATAAAAAATTACTATAAGGTTCTAGTCTTCCAAAAATCAAATGAAACCTAATTTTTTAGTCACAATTAAAGCTACCATTTTTTATAGTAAAAAATTACAACACTGCATCATCCTCCAGAAAAATGATCAAAATTACACGGAAAAAAATCCCAAATTTTCTCAGCAAACAACACCAGTAATCAATCTTTTTCCCAATCAACAATCATGAGAACAAGAACAACATCAATAACCAAATACACGTCACATTCAAAACAAAACACGAAATCAAAAAGCCAAAATCCTTTACACAACGCATAAGTACAGAAAAAGGGATCCTGCAGTTGGAAATATAAATAATTCCATTAAACAGAGAAAAAATTTTACCAGCTAAAGTGATGAAAAATGACGATTACAGCAAACCCAGAAATTTTGGGGAGCTATAAATTCTTGGGGAATTTGGCCAGATGACCTACTTGGACAATGATTTTGGACAAATAGCCTTTGACCATCATTAAAATGGAATAAAAAAATTTAAAATATTTTAATTGATAAAATGACAAAATTGTCCTTCAATTTATATCAAATTATTCATCCAACTTCTTTCATTTCACCTTCTTCTTTCTTCTTTCCTTTTCCTGTGAAACCCTATTCCCCAAACTTGAATTCCAAACCCATCTTCTTCACCTTAATTTTCACTATATTTCAATATTACAAAAAACTTTTCTTTGACTCTAGTTTATTTCACATTACTTTACCCTCTCTTTGGTACAAGTTAAAACAACAAAAAAGGTAATTTTTTCTACGATTTTTTTTTCTTTTTTGTTATTTTAAAACGTGATTTTGTGCTTCCATTACTATAGTTTTATAATAAAAATTTGTAAAAATTGCATTTTTTTTATGATTTCGTGATTTATTTGTATATTTAGTTTAGTTTTAGCTGAGTTTTTTTAATGTGAATGGATTTTTGATACATTTGGGGTTTTGAAGATGATGGGTTAAAAAAAAATTCAATTACTAGCATTGCTATAAATCAAAATTGTGATATGTAAATGTGCTTGTTCTTTGATATGCCTTGAAACTTAGAGAGTTGCATTAAGAATAATTTGATTTAAATAATTCGGCATTTTTAGGAAAATTCTTTATATTATGTTTTACTGTAATTCCTATTTTATGTGAGTTCTATTATTAAACTTTACACTTGTTGATTTCAGAATTTTTTCATATTATATTTTGCCTATTTTTACCACAGTACCCTTATTTGTAGATTGGAACTTCACCTACTAAATAATGTATATAATTTTGCAATTTAAAAGGTTGTGTTTCCCCTTGACTTTATTGAATCATTTTATTCTTTAGTTGCTTAAACGTTGTATCATTACGCCTACATTGATTATTACTTGATTTGACTTTGATTTAACTGTTGTTCCAAGAAAGAGAACTAGCATTGAAATCGTTTAAAAGTGGAAACGCACTAATTTTGGTTGTGACAGATATGGCAAGTCATGGCCTTGATATTCCCTACATTGCTCACGTATCAACAAAGCCACCAGCTGA